GGGGGGGGGGGGGGGGGGGGGGGGGGGGGGGGGGGGGGGGGGGGGGGGGGGGGGGGGGGGGGGCACATGATCCGTGTTTGTCTGCGGAACCCCAAGTTGCACCTCACGCCAGTCTCTCCACAATACCTCGGTGATTCTAACCACCCATCTCGCGAGTGTTTTGTATCAGAAAGAGAGTAGGTCGGGGGATTTGGTCCCAAAGCTTCTTCCTAGCAACACGAGCTTGGAGACGCTATTCACATGCGCGCCTGATAGTATTCAGAGGGCCCTTGGCGATTATTTTGCTTCCGGACCCTGCGCGCCGGGATGCGACACGCCTTCTTCCTGTCTGCGATTTCTTGTGCGCCTCCTGTATGCCTCCTTCCCTACTGCAAGCCACAGCTGATTCGAATCTCATCATGGGTGTTTGATAAGACCACTTCTATGTGTGCGCATCCACGCGGCTAAGTCTCATGATCGATACCGGCATCCAACCCACAGGCAGCGGCGGAGGCCACCGAGAGGTTGACGGCCGCGGCGAGGGAGCGGGACGACGCCTTGGCTCGTGCGGAAACCCTGCAGGCCTCCCTGGAGGCAGCGGCCGCCGCTGCGGCCGCCGCTGAGAGCGCGGCGCGACAAAAGGCGGAGGAGGAACTGGAGGAGGTTCGAAGAGGTTCTGCCTCGGAATTAGAGCGGGAGCAGGTGCGGGGTGGATGTCATGGGCTGTGCGCGGCGATTGGACGGCGGTTGCAGTCTTGATCTGGGCTTCTTTTTTGTGTGTAAGAGTCTAGCTCTGTGTAGCTGGCCCGTCTATTGTCAATTGGATGACGTGGCTTCTTGCGCATAGTATGGCTTGCCGGTGTTCGCAACCGGCCCGCCCGTGGTGCCTTGTTACATACAACACGTAATAATTCCTCACCTCTGTCCCTCGAGTTCGCCCCGCTGCTGCGCGAAACAACGAGTATTCCCTGACGTTCATACTGAGCGTTCATGCTGCTGCCCCCGCGTGTTCCCCCCTCTCTTCTCGTCCGTTCATGACCCGACGTACGCCCACAAACAAGGCTGCCGTGAGGGCCCTCGAGGAGCGCCTCGCGCAGGCACAACAGGCGGCGCAGTCCACGGCCGAAGGCCTTCGGGCGGAGCTGGCCAAAAGCGAGGCTGCTAGGGCGGAGGCCGGAACAGCCGCGGCGGAGTCCCTCGCCAAAGCGGTGGCGGAGGCAACCGAAGCGGCGGAGAAGGAAGCTAGCGCTGCAGCGGCGGCGGCGGCGGCACTACAAGAGTCGACGATAGAAGAGCTGCGGTCGAAGCTGGCCGAGAGCGAGGCTGCGGAAATGGAAGAGTCGGGGGACAAGGCGGAGGCGGCAGCGGCGGCGCTCTCGCAGGCTAAGGCTGGTAGGGCCGAAGCCGAGTCCGAGGCGGCGAGGCGGGAGGAAGCCCTTAGAGCGCAAGTGGTCGGTATGGAAGCGGAGGTTGCCAGTCTTCGGGAAGAGCTTCGCGTTGCAGAGGAGGAAAAAGAAATCGCGGCTGCGGCGGCAACGGCGGCGGAGAAGGACACGGACGGGACCGGGAGCTCGGCAGAAAGGTCGTGTGCGGCGAGCGGTGAACTGCCGGTAGCTGCAGTGGACAGCACCGACGGGGGTGCCGCAGAAGACGGTGCGGCGGCAGCGGCGGCGGTGGACACGAAGGAGGAGGTGGATGCCCTGGTCGGTCGCGTGGCCGCCCTAGAGGAGGAGCTGGCAGCGTCGAAGCTCGCTTTGCACCGGCAGGAGGAGGAGGCGGCGGAAGCGGCAGCGGTGGCGGCGGCGGCGGCGGAGGAGATGGAGGCAATACGGGGACGTCTGCGGGTTGCGGAGCAGGAGACAGCGGACCTGTCGGCAGAGCTGTCGAGCGCAAAGGAAGCGGCAGCGGTGGCAGCGGCGGCGGCGGGTACGGAGGAGGACATGGAGGCACTACGGGAACGTTTGCGGGTTGCGGAGCAGGAGATAGCTGAGCTATCGGCAGAGCTGTCGAACGAAAAGGAAGCGGCAGCGGCGGCGGCGGCGGCGGGTACGGAGGAGATGGAGGCAATTCGGGAACGTCTGCGGGTTGCGGAGCAGGAGACAGCTGATGTTTCGGCAGAGCTGTCGAGTGAAAAGGAAGCGGCAGCGGCGGCAGCAGCGGCGGCAGTGGCGGCGCTAGAAGCGACACAAGCGGCGAAGGACCAAGAGACCGCTGAAGAGGCGGCGACGGCAAGCGCGGCGGCGGCGGCATCGGAGGAGGCCCTCAGCGCCGCCCGGCGCGAGACCGAAAAGGCCTTGGAGGATTCCGACAAGCAGGCCGAGGAGCTCTCGTCGAGGCTGATGGGCGCCCTGGAGGAGCGTGAGGAGGGCCGGCGGCGCGAAGCCGCCGCTGCGAAGGAAGCCGGACGACTCCGGGAGGAGCTGGCGGAGGCCATGGGGGAGCTCGACTTGGCGCGGGCCGAGGTGAAGCGCCGGGACGCCGCGGCGGACGAGAGCGCCAGCGAGTGGGCCCGCAGGGTTCAGGAGGTGGAGGGGAAGATGGAGGCGGCGGAGGCAGGAGCTGTCGAGGCCGTCAAGGCTCTAGAGGACGCGCTGACGCAGGTATGTACTTGAGAGGGAATTGTGGGTTGCGGCAGCAACCACCATCGCGTTTTGCTTTGTTTTCTCTGGCCGCGGGTAGCAGCCGCGCCCCCCTCGTCTGGCTGTCGTTTTGTCCAACAAGCCAGGTCGCCGTGTCGTCCACCCGGCTTCAAACCTGGGAGCTTCTGGTCCGGGCTGACGTAGACAACGGGGTGTGTGTTTTTATTGTTAGCATCGACCGCTCTAACCGGCTGACCAAGGAAAAGAAGTCATTCTCAGTGCGGTTGAAAACACAAAATGTTTCTACAGGAAAGACCATGATGTGGGGGCCCGTCAGGGGGCGTCATGGGGGGAGGGTGTGTGTGTATGTGTGTGTTCAGAGGCGTATGTTCAAAGGCATGAGTTTTTTTGTTTGCTCCCTGTCTGTGCCTTGGCGGTTTCATCCACCCACATCGCTCTCGCGCCGCTCGCATGTGGTGCGCCCTTCCTGCCCGTCCCCCGCGTTTCTCATCCGCATCTATTCCTTGTTGGTTGCGCTATCACAGCGGGAGCAGGAGGCGGAGCGGCTGACGGAGGAGGTGGCGGGGCTAAGGAAGGAGACGTCCCTCGTTAAGGCGGAGCTCGAGGCTAGGGGCGAGGCCTTGCGGCAGGTCAGAAACGCAGACCCCAAACGCGCTAAACATAAAAACCAGAAACCTTTTTCTTGGCCGTCAGTAGCGTCTCGTTTCCGCTCGTTCGTAGATGTCTACGGCGGTGCCACAATGCGTGCGTACAGTACATTGCCTGGAGCCTTTTTCTAATTTTTCGGAAGTCATCCACTGTATGTGCAGCTGCTGTGTTCGAAAAGGCGGCAATTGAACTGGAAGCCGGTCTCACGTGTTCGATGGAGCCGAGTGTGTAGTATCATAGGACAAACCTGTCTACCGCCGTGTTTAGACCACGCTGGAGCTGGCTTGTCTGCCCTCTGACCTCCCGATCGAACACCACCTCGTTATTTTTTGTTTCTTTCACCACTTATGACCACGAAAGGCGTCGGCGTCAGTTTGATCAGTAAGGATATCAGGAGGTACTGGGTAGAGACCAGAACGTTTTCTAGTGTGAAGGCAACAACAGCAACAGCGCTGTCTATTGTTTCCACAACACACCGGGCCTGGCTCGTCTGCCTCCTTGACCTTTCGTTCGTTCAATGTCTCCTTCTATTTTTTTACACCCACCGTATGGGAACGACTTTTCATGTGAAAACAACAACAACAATAACAACCTTCTTCTCTACCTTGCCTAGGCCAAGCTTGACCTGGCCTCCGTGTTGGAGGACTCCACCGCCACCGGCGCGAAGCTTTCGGAGGCGAGGTCGTCGCTGGAGAAGACGAAGGCGGCCCTCGTGGAGGCCGAGGCGAGGCTGGAGAGCGAGAGCGCCGCTAACGCCGGGCTCAAGGCCGCGGTCATAGAGACGAACGAGGTACAGCAGTGGTGGCGATCCTGATATATCGCGTTGTAAATTAGTGACAGACAAAAATCACCGCGTTATACATTCCAACAAAAGCATTGGGTGTTAGTTGTTTTCGGTCTTCATTTTTTTCAGTGTTTGGGACGCAAAATCGGGACCCGCGCTGTTGGGGGAAAGTCCCTGAAGTCGAGTTTAGTACTTCGAGTAGGTCAGGTTGATGCGCTAAGCATTTTTTACCGCGATATACCGGGATTCGCCCTGTTTGGGACAGCCACTGCTGCACGTTTTTTTTTTTCGGCGGAGATGGGGAGCTGGGTCTCGCTATTTTTACACCTTTTCATTCGGTTGAGTTTTTGTTTTTTGCAGAACAGCACAGGATATACCATTGTGCGACAAATTTCTGTAATCAGTTTTGGCGTGATGATGTGTGGGTTTTTTACCTTGCCGCGGAAAGATGCAACCCTAGTGTCATTGTTGTGCTCAATAGTTTGCTGTAGATATCATGCAGGAGGCGAACGCACTATTCAGGGCTGGAAATGACTTTTTTGGGACTGGCGTGAGGAGAACTGTTTTTTTTGTCGTGACTATGTCCCTTGCTGAATGAATCCTTTTCGCTATCCTAGCCGTCAAGGCCACCGGCTGCGTGGGGAAACCAACCTAGGTCGAGAAGTCATAACACACAGACAGTTTTTTGTTTGAAGATCCAGTTGTTTTTTTTGTGTTGCCGCTGCTCTCTTTGTTTTTTCTGCCGACCGAGGCACCAGCCATCACGAAATAGGTCGACGGGAGGTAGATATCGTTGGTATGAAGAGCAGAGCGAGGCGTCGGCGTGCGGGGTCCTTGTGTGTTTCTTTGTGTGTTTTTTTTTGTTTCAGTGCCGCGGATCCCTCCTACGCTGATTGATTTGAGTACATACCCTCAGCTCGCCTACAGTCCAATCGCTTGTCGATCAGGAGATGTTACTGCCGCTGCTGCTGAAGCTCAAGCTTGGTGGTTTTCTCACCGCCATCAATGCTGGATGGTAAAGAGGGACGTGACTGATCTTTCTCTCTCACCGTCTGCCTTCTGCCTCTTCTCTCTGCCTGTCTCTGTCTCTCTCTCCCTATCTCCCTCTCTGTGCCTTCCTGTCTCTCTCTTTCCCCCCCCCTCTCTCTCTCTTCCCCTCCCGTATCGGTTTGCCGCCCGTCCCCAACAGACCGTGTCGAAGCGAGTGGACGTCCTCCGAGACGCTATCGAGAAGGTGGAAGCGGAGCGAGACGCCGCCGCGGCAGACGTAGCTGCGAGCAAGACTCAGCTCCAAGCCCTTCAGGCCCAGGTACATACGGAAAATATTTTCATAGTGAAACACCAATACGTATTGAGCGTATGGCACATGTGACGCTGCCTCAACAGGCTCCACCTGAACACAACAGCAGCAACCAGCAGCAGCGTTTCTGTCGCTCCTTGTCCCATGCTCCAATCCTGTCTTTTCTTTCGGTTGCGGTACAACTGTGCTCCTGGATATGGGCATGAAGATGCGATGTATTTCTCGACCGGACTCGAAACATTTTGCCACGGAGATCATTATGTGTTTTAACAAGCTAACAACATACCGGTATCTGTTTTCGTGACGGCATGCCTTCCGCCATGGTGACGCGTTATATATTTTCATTTTTTTTTTTTTCGGCGATGGCGGTGGCGAGACAGGTGGCGTCCCTGCTGAAAGAGAACGCTGGTGCGAAGACGGAGGCCGGGCTGAGGGTGGGCGACCTGCAGCAGCGGTTAGCGGCGGCGCAGGACGAGCTTGGTCGAGAGAAGGAGGCGATCGCCGAAAGAAAGGTGCTTGGTACAGCTGTATGGCGCAGCCCGTTTCAGCCGGGCAGGTTCAGTTTGGCTGCTGGTGCAGGTGCTGCTGTTGTTGCTCTAGTTGTCGTTGCTGCTGCTGCTGCTGCTGCTGCTGCTGCTGCTGCTGCTGCTGCTGCTGCTGTCGCTGCCCCTGCTGATGTTGCTGTTACTGAAGATGGTGTTGCTGTTGTTGCTGTTGTTGTTGTTGCTGCTGCTGCTGCTGTTGCCCGCCCCGGCGGTCATCGGGTGTGTTGCTGGTGCGAGCACCTGTGTCGTTGTGTGTGCTCCAAGCTGAGCTCTTTGTTGCTGTTGTTGCTTTGTTCAGGTTGGAGGGTTTGATTTTTCTCGCCATCACCCCGTGCGCTACCGTTCTGTTGCATGTTCAAGCTCGTGGATCCCGCTCGCTCTCGCTCGTGTCCCGCTTCTTGCCATACTCTTCCCTCCCTTTCCACGCCTTCCTGCACCCCTTGTACCGGGCTTCTAGAAAGAGATGCAGGCTTATGCAGAGGCGATGGCAAGGGAGGGAGAAACTCTCCGGACTGCCACTAAGGAAGCGCAGGTAATCGGCTCTTTCGTGATTTGATTTCGTCGCTGCGCCTACGCTGGGTCTGGGAGGCAGTCGCCTCTTCCGCGCCCCCCAAGACCTTGTTGTGATGGTGATTCTGTTGCAATGTCGTCCGTTTGATTGGTGTGCGTGATTTGTGCGTGTCGTGTTGACTAGTGGTCTATGCATGCCCCGAGTTCTACTCGCATCGACCTCGCTCGTCGTCTGTCTCACCGATGGCAGTTCAACGGCCAGTCAGGAGAACCAGTCGAGTCAGTAGTTGTGTGTGTCTTTCTTTGTTCAGCGTTGACCGCGCTAACCGGCTGACCATTTATTGCGTTTGTGCGTGTGTTTTGTCACAGGCCATCGCGGCAAGGGCTACGGCAGCCGAAAGCGAGAGCAAGTCCATCGTGGCGCTCGTGAGGCGGGAGGGGGAGGCGACGGCGTCCAGCCTGAGGCAGGCGCTGGAGAAGCAGGCGGCTGAGGCCAGCCGCGCCGTGGCAGCACTTGAGGAGCGGGTACGGCTGACCCACTATATAGCCTACAACTTGTTGGCATCCGTTCAATTTTTTTTGGTCTTCGGTCGTGCGTGTGTTTTGCGATTTATAGTAGTGGTTGGGGAAGGAGTCAATGAGGGTGTCAATTTCACTTCTTTCGTTTCAGGCATGGGTGAGAAATGGCCCCCACCCCCGTAGTCGACATGCCTCTCTGCTCTTCCAACGCCTTGACTCACCTGACCCCTCGGGCGTGTCTCGGCTCACGAACGCCCTGTCGATAACTTTTTTTCTGCAGCACGCCAGCTACGTGAACGTGTCTCCTGCTTTCCTTCCATTGATTTGTCGCTTCCTACTTCACCCCCCCCCCCCCCCCCCCCCCCCCCCCCCCCCCCCCCCCCCCCCCCCCC